TTAAAATATATGTTTCATATTTTATTAGATTTTTTATTTTTAACATTTTTTAACATTTTTTTAACTGCCCAAGACTTGATTGGTTAAAACGGTTGAATCGATCAGTTTACCGGTTAGGTCAGTTGAACCGTTTCTGATCTCATGTCCAGTTAACCATTCCGATTCAATTTAGCGAATACTTCTATCTCCTCTGACAAAAAACCGTTTCAAAGTGTTACAATGGTTCCCCTACCCTCCTTTTTGTTTATGCTACAAAAACACGTGCGACATATTGGTTAAATTACAAAACTAAGCTCCATTTTTTTTTTTTTGAGTTTATGTGTTGTTTTGTTTTGGGAATGTTAATAACAATTCTCCAAAACTTGCATGCTTCCTATGCTTCTCCTATGGATAAAACTTATATACTTCCCCTATCTAATTGGCAATTCTGAATAGATGGTTGAGATGGCCCCAATCACAATGTCACGTCTCTACATTAATTATTAATAATTTTTTATAAAATATTTTGACATCAAATTTTAGGTGTAGATGTAAAATAAATGGTTATGGCTCATTTATTGTTGCACTTAAAATCGAATAACTACACTGAGACGTTTATGGTATAAGCTCATAAATCAATTTAATATGTATGTCTAATATGTGGTTAACTTGCTATCAATTTATGACTACAGTTAACATATATTTGTTAATAATTAATTTTCATGGTCGTAAATGGACTAAACTATCCTTTATAAACATTGAACTTGTTTTATTTTAAAATTATTTTTATTTATTTTTGTCTAAGTAGAAGTATTTGGTTCATGAGGTTTGAACAAATATCTAATTTCTATATTTTAGATATAATTATAATCTAAATGTCTACCTTACTACCTCGCAAGACACTCATCTTTTCAACACCCAAAGACCTCCATGTTGATTCCTTCCCGTATATTACGTCAATTCCACTATACCACCTTTTTTTTTCTTTTTTTAATGTTAATATGCTATACCATCTCACATCTATGTATAATCACTAAGGCATATACATGGGAAAGCTTTATATGTTCGCTCTCGAACATAGAAATTCCATGTTCCCCTATTCCAACCGTCCATTTTTTAATGGAGGGTTAAGATTGCCCCAATCACAATGTCATATCTCTACACTGTTTTATTTTTAATTTTTTTTTATGAACTATTTTGACACCAAATTTTGGATTTCCATTATTACATTAAACTTGTACTAACGAAAAATATAAAAACAAAAATTTCGATAAAATAAAATGACCAAAATACCCTTGAAAGATTCAAGGGGTATTTTGGTCATTATTTTTTATCGACAAATTATTGTCAATATTTTTTATAGGTGCGTCCCAATGAGAAGATATCACACACCAAATTTCATATTCAAAAAAATTGTATTAAAAAAACTAAAAATAAAATACTTTGAGACGTTGGATCTAAGATCAAACAGTGAGTGGCTCTCTTGATAAAAAATGGACGGCTGGATGGTAGGAGGAATATAGAACTTCTATATTGTAGGGGTACATAGAAAACTTTCCTTTGAACAAATATCTAATTTCTATATTTAAGATATAATTATAATCTAAATGTCTACCTTACTACCTCGCAAGACACTCATCTTTTCAACACCCAAATACCTCCATGTTGATACCTTCCCGTATATTAAGTCAATTCCACTATACCACCTCTTTTTTCTTCTTTTTTCTTTTTTTAATGTTAATTGTGCTATACCATCTCACATCTATATATAATCACTAAGGGATAAAATACAAAGTTTGAAAATTTAGCGATCTGGATTGGAATCGTCCAATTTGCATCGAAAATCTTCAACATCATTCCGGATCCTTTAATATATCGGGATTTGAACCCCCCCTCGACGATTCTATCAAAAACAAGCTGGACATGGTTTTTAGTGGAACTACATGCAAATGGGTATACAAAATAAAATATAAAGCTTATGGGACTATTGAACGCTACAAAGTTTGGCCAGATGTCAAAAGTTACAACCAGCAAGATGGCCTTCATTATCACGAGACATTTGCCCCAACAACCAAATTGGCCACCATTTGATGTCTTCTTGCACTTGCAGCTATCAAAGATTGGTTCCTTCACCAACTTGATTCGAAAAATGACTTTTTACATGGTAATTTGAAGGAAGAGGTATACATGAAGATTCCGCCCGATTTTTCATGTAAGGGGGAGCATAGAGTTTGTTGCTTTAACCCCTTTATGGACTTAAACATGACTCATGTTTGTGGCTCGCCAAGTTTTTAGATGCTTTATGAGCCGCTAATTATACTCAATCCAAAGTTGGCTATTTCCTCTTTACCGGTCACAATGGTCCATCTACTTATGTCCTTGTGTATGGAGATGATATTGTGATTACTATGAATGCTACAGCCGCTATTGATTTTCTCAAAGAGTTTCTCAAAAAGGATTTTCACATTAAAGATTTGGGTTCTCTACAATATTTTTTGGGCATTGAGGTCCTCATATCAAAAAAAGATATTTTACTTACTCAACTGAAATATACAATTAAAATACTTCAAGATATGCACCTCCTCGTTGCTCACCCTATCGCATTTCCAATAGAATAAAACCTCAAGTTTAATTCTACATATGGTCCTTGATTAGAAGTCCCCACTTCTTATCAACGATTGGTTGGATGTCTCGTACGCATCACTCTTGATATTGCATATTCTGTCCATATTCTCAGCCAGTTCTGACTCAACCATGAAACCACATTTTGATACAGCAATCCGTGTATTATATTATTTAGAGGTGGTATTCTTCTTTCTACATCTTGTACATCATAACTCACTGCTTTCTGCGACTCCGGTTGGGCATGTTGTCCCATGACTCGTTGCTCGACTACTAGGTATTGCACAATGTTAAGCGATAGTCCAATCTCCTGAAAAACAAAGAAGCAACATATTCTCTCGATCTTCTGTCGGAGCTGAATATCTTTCCATGACAATCGCTTGTTGTGAATTACCATGGCTAAAAATTCTCCTTTTGGATCTCGATACTTACCACAAAGATCATATGACGCTCTATGGTGATAACAAAATTGCCATTCACATTACTGTCAATCCCATTTAACATGAGCGAACAAAGTACATTAAGCTCGACTATCATCTAGTATGGGAAATTATTCGATGAGGACTTATCCGAATAACTTATGTTCCAACCAAGCATCAACGTGGTGACATCTTTACAAAGCTCTAGGCAAAGACGAATTCCATTTTTTAGCACACAAATTAGGCATCATTGATGTTCATGCTCCAACTTGAGGGAGAATATTAGGAATTACCTAATCAATCACTTATTCAAATTGAAGTTACTGCATTTGACTTCCAATACCTACAATCAATGGATTGATTCAAATTGAAACAATTTCATTTGACTATTAATCCCTACAATCAAATGATTACAATTCAAATCTTTTGTATGAATTTTTAATTCCTACAATCAATGGATCATAATTCTTATCTTAACTTCCAATCTCTACAATCAAATGATTACAATTCAAATCTTCTATATCAATCCCCAATCCCTACATCAACTCCAATCCCTACATCAAGGATCATAATTCTTGTGTACTTTTTGGCTCACAAAACAAGCAAAGAAGTGAGCAGGTCCCTATCCATTATTACCAATAAAATCGCCCATTGTTTGTGAAGTGGATGATCCCTGTTGGCCTGACACCTAGTCTTAGGCTTATTCCCAAAGAATGCTTCTCTTTTCTGATAAATAGTCTCCTTATTTATATGTTGTTAAGGAAAAGGTTTAGCCAAAAGATCTCTAGTTACTCCCTCAAGAAAACCCAATGTAGGAGCAATTTAGGCCCCGAAATTTTTAGAATGGAACCTCTTCAACCCATATACCGTATTAAATAAAAGAATTTTCCAAATTGCATTGCACTTGAAAAACAAATAATGCTTCAAGATTGAATATAAACTGTCCAAATTTTTAAGGGTGAATTCTAAGTTTTTGAAAACTCAAAAATAAGAAATTTTTCTTTTGAATGTAACCATCTAGTGATTTTTAGGTGGCTCTTAAAATTCTGGAACAAAAGAAATATTCCTGAATTAGTCTCCAACAGAGAGTAGACGTAAGTATGCTCCCTTGGGTGTATAGCATACGCACTCAAAGTTTATACAAAATGTCAATCACCTCTAAAGTTCAATATACCTTAAAACTCATCGAAAAATATTGTGCTGATAGCTTCACTATTTTTGAAGCTGCAAATTTCAAAAGTAAAGGATGGAAAAGATTTTCAAACTTCGGTAAAGATTTTTGATACCCAAATTGCATCTTTAAGAGGTTTGAAAGTATGTCTTACTTCGATTGTTTAAGGTGGGCGCCTTATATAAACTGTATCATCCCATAAATAGTACATAGCGGTACAAAGCACATGAGAGAGAGGAAGCACACAAAAACAGTATTATGTTCGATGTTTTTAGGTAAAAATAACTCACCAATCCTGTTCTTGAAATTCACAAGAAATGTATTTGGTACCCCAAAAGGTAATGGAAAGATTGAGCACAGCTCCAAACTACATAGGGAGATTATTATTTTTTGAGCTATTTGTAAAAAAAACAAAGAATTTTTTTGTGCATGCTTTTCATTGGTAAATAATTTTAGAAAATTTGACTTTTGAGTTCTTGATGGATTAGATCTCTGAGTCTCCAAATATATAGTCCTTATCTTTTGTCTTTTTTTGTATTAATTGATGTACATATTTTCCCTTGGTAGTTCATTTTTTTAAAAAAAAAATTGATCGAGATGAAATTTATGTTTGTGCAGAACTTAGGATCCAACAAACTCTAAGTTTCAAACTGTCAAAATTTTCGTAGTGGCATACGGTGCATTGTAAGCAAGTTGGCATGCATACCTTTTCGCAAAAGTAATAAAGGAATGAAAAACTTGATAAATGAAAAAAAAAAAAAGAAGATATTTTTATTTACAAATAAATAAATTATGGTTGAATTCATTGTCCAAAAATAATCTCTTAAAATAAAAATTCGTTTTCAAATGACACAAAGCACACACTAGGTACCACAATGTAGAACAAAGAGAATGATATGCTATCTCGATATAAATACTCATCTTGAACATAAAGAGCTTCCTATGCCATATGATCAAATATACACTACAAAGGTATCATTCAACCCAAATGTGTGTGAGAGAGAGGGAGAGTGTGTGTGTGTCAAAACTTGAGCCACCTCTTCTCCTTCTCCTTCCTAGTGACCTCATTTGACACTGCTGCTCGAGCTGCCTCAGCATCAGCAAGAGCCCTTCGGGTCTCATTCAGCTTACGACTGGCAGCCTCAAAAACTGCTTTCTCTCTCCGGTTTCGTTCCACCATTTCCTCTAGCTTCTCGACCCGGTTCCTCAACTCTCTCACTTCCTCATCATATGCCACCAATGCTCGCCGATCCTCTCTCTTAATTTCTCTCTCCTTCACTTCACTACGACCTAACTTTTCTCTTTCATTCTCCTTTTGCATAGCAAGCTGGTTATTGATGAAACCAAAAACGTCATTTGCAACCTCTTCTTCAGCCTTCGCAGCTCGCTGAGCCTCTGCATATCTCTTCTCTCTCTTCCTCCGACCCCCTCTACTTCGCTTCTTTTCCCGCTTTGTTTCTCTCTCTTCAACCCCATTTATATAATCAAGAGATTGCTTAGGGGGGAGAACTTTAACAGGGATTGGATCCACAATGCCTTGCCCCGATGAGCCTAACCCCATTCCCTCTCTATAGCCCATGTTTGCCATCATCTTCGAAGCCACGCCACGAGTGTGAACCTCCCACTTTGCAAACACTGCAGTCTCAGTTTGAACCCCATGCCTAAGTGAGCTGGCCTGTAAAAAGCCAACACCATTTGGGCTCAGGCCTAGTCCACCTGGGCTTGCACCAAGCTCATCTTCTTCATCATCACTAGTCTCTGACCCCCTGGAACTTGTTTCCTGCTCCTCATTGCTAAGTTGGGCATACTCATATAGGGAGAGAAAGTCAGACCCAAGCTTAGCATGGGTCCCATCGTCTCGGAACACAACTTGCCCCATCTTGAGACCATCATCCCATGACTCGAGCTCGGCTTCTCTCCATATACCAGCTTGGCTGTCTGTTAGGGCAAAAACGCTTGAGCCCACCAATGACTGTCGCCATATTGGCGGGATGTAGGGCTTGAGAGAAGATAAGGGCATGTCAACTCCTGCGAAAAGATGTTAATCTCAAAATTTTAGAGAGAAGATTGATTTCATAACTTTGAAAAGGAAGAAGTAGACAGAATGACGGGGGCAGCTATGAAAACAAAGTTTAAAATACAATTTCCCATGAACACATACTACCATATTGGCCAAATGGAATAGACAAAAAATATTAATGAAAAAACATGATGGATCATTAACTTATCCAATAAATCAGTAAGCAGAAACTAAGCACATGAACAAACAATCCAGGAGAAACTTGTACACTGGCTTATTCGGACTGCTTATTACTACTGATACCGGGATGTAGAAAATACAGAAATATCTCCCCAAATGGAAGGAACATAATGCAATCTGGTGATAACTTGGGATGGAAACAAGAAAATCAGTGCCAATTAAAGAGAAAGATTTTATATCCTAAGTAAAAATTGGAATATTAGAATCACTGGGTTGAGCTAAGTGTGAGGTAATAGTGGAGACAATGATGACATACCATGTGACAAACGACAGTTATTGCCAAATCGACACCGCTGCTGCAGAAAGAACTTGCATATCTGCACTTGTTTGTGGACTTGTGTCAGTTAACAGGCCAGTGCCAAAATATAAGACATGCCAAAACAAATCTAACTAGGGACAAATTAAAGGAACCCATGCTATAGCCCTCTCAGATATGGGTCATGGGGATCACCTAGGGAGTGGAATACGTTCCAGCATATTTAGTTTCAAATGAGTTTGGATTCAGAGTCCCATCACACATGACACATGAACAGCATAAGCAGCCAAAACTGCCGGGCTGAGACATTTCACTTTATTTGAGTGTTAGAGAAACGAATCAGAACCAAAAACTCAGTCGTGCAAAGAGAGAGAGGGGTCTGCTTAGGCAAGGATATGGTCGGATTGTTGGCTCATATCTGCTTCTGCCACAAAGTTCACAATTTCTCATTTTGTACAAGCTTCAAGTGGAACTTGAGCATTCCCTTTTAGACTTCAAAATAAGTAACAGCTGAAATTTGGCCTGCGTATGAAAGATTTTTAAGAAAAATGCAAAGACCAAATGAACACACATATTTGGTGAAATCCACTCTGAAACACCAGATTGGGCTAGTGCCAGCATCTGAATTTGCTTCTTTATGAGCATGTCAAGGGTAGTCTAGAAATTCAAGATCTTAATGATTATGTCCCAAACACATAGGAAAGAGGCAACCTATACAACTGACTAATCACAACCAAAGAATCCCCTTTCTCCATAAACAAGCCACGAGTAAAACTGAAGAAGATCGCTAGCCCACTAAATAGGACTTTGATCTCCCCCTTTATTGATTCCATGGTCACCTGGTCATTATTGACAATGCAAAAGCCGTACTTTTTTTTATGAGTAGCAAAAACCTTTTGTCTAACCCCAACTTTTATTTAATTAGGTCGCCCACCGCCAACTCCACATGACCCAAAGTACTAAACAAGCATTTTTCAAAATTGAGATCTAAGAACTCGATGCAAAGGCATCGTCCACACTTCCCAAGTACAGAAACATGACAATAAAAGTGCCCAAGATGGTATTCAACTTCCTCAACAAATCCTCTACTCCCAATCTTTTGAACACCAATTTGTATGCGCCCAAGATAAAGTTCAACACAATGCTGCTTCTTAGCGCTAACATACCCTCATTTGCCCTTTCAGGAAATGATTATTACACATAAGATCTCCAAAATGAAAAACAAATAAGCAATAAACCTGGAGAAGATATAACTTACAAGGACAAGGGCAATGCACCATTACATCTTAGATTGAGAACCCAGAAATGTCAAAAAGGTTCAACATACAAAAAAGGACCCTGATCGTCCTTATCAACAATGGTGCTTAATGCACACTCAAATCTTTTGTATTGATGACCACACAGTGTCTATTGTTTCTTATTCATGGCATTTGAGGATGCATCATAGATCCAAGACACACTTCTTTGGATCTGAAACTACCATCCCATATCTGTTAGCTAATGTCAACTTTTAAAAGGTATAATTATTGGGAAATAATTATATCCAAATCATCAAGAATTAATGGTCATTTTTAGCTTAGAACATTGTATTCAAAATCATAACATCAATATCGCTCAAGATTCCATTGAAAAACATGAGCTTAGTTCAAAAAGTATGGAGCGGTAAAAGAAATTTGGTACATGATTATTGGGGTGAAAAAAGTTTCAACAAGATATTCCCTTACTATCAAGTATCAAACGAATATCAAGGTTACACACAGCTTTCAACTAAAAGAATCCATTGAAAAAACATGAGCACAATTACAGAAATACGAGTTAAAAGATTGAAATTTACTCACCACCATATTTTCTGAGGTTGGCGTCGAGAAAGAGATCTTAGCAGAATGAACACCTTCGATTCCAATGACATGGCCATCATACCATCGACCATTGGTGTGACGAAACCTACACCTTGCGCCAACTGAGAAACCCTTCTCTTCCAATGGTTCAGCTTCGACCTTTGATGGCTCCAAAGGCTCTGGTTCTACTTCCTGATAGTTCGAATCTGAACCAGCTCCAGAAATAAGGTGATTGGCTTCTAGTAATAATCGTGATCGTTTCAAGTGAAAAAGCCCTTCCTCTGCAGCCTTGATTGCTGCAATAAGCTCTTCATGCACCTTCAAAGGAAACAAATGAGAAAATTCAATATTTCTTATAAGCATAAAAGAATATAGTGAATTATCAGCATCAATTACTGACACGAACAAGAGCATCCATATACTCCCTAATATTCAGGGTATTGCCTACAAAGTAATAAACATGGTCCTCTTTTTCTCCTTCCCTTGTTTTTTGTTTTTTTTAAGTTATATGACCAGCATGGTCCTTGGCAATTGGATTTGTGAGCAATTAAACCGCGTTACAAGATAAATGCTGATTACTAGATAAGGTGCACAACTATTGCATTCACAAATAATGGCATATTCAAATTCCCTTGATTCATTGAACTATTACATATCTTTGCTATATTTTATGATAATTTCTTAGAACCAGCATTATTATGGTGGTTGCAATTTTATCCAATAGAGGCTTTCTTTGATCAATAAATCATTATCAGAATGGTTCAACAGCATATCAAATCAGTACCCAAATCATCTTTTTTCTGCTTCAACTTCGACATTAGGTAATAATCTATTCAACTCAAAATGTACCAATCAATACGGAGAAATCTCAAGTATTGAGCTTGATGCTTAAATGGTTCCCAGAATATTAACATCTTTCAACAAGAAGCAGACTATTTTAGAACCCCATCTGTAACTTTGCTATGAAAAATGCACTAAATTCTTTGGTTAAATTCATCAATAAGTTCAAACAAATTCATGATCAATTTCCAGAACATTTCTCACAAATTTTTGTACCAGATCATAATCCTTATTATAACAACTCGAAACCTAGTTAAACGGAAAATGTAAAACATACAATGAAGTTGCAGGCTACCCACCATGATAAGCTCGGGATTTTGGGGATCAGAAACTAGGGCATCATTTATGGCCCCCAATGACTCTTTTTGCTCCATTAGTTGGAGCTCCAACTGTTTCTCCAGCTCCCCGTCATCGTCCTCCGCCATTAAAGCTCCAGTTGCAGGTCCAACCACCAGGCAAAATGGATCAACAGAGAGATAGACTAAGAGAGAGGGGAACAAAGTTTTGCAAGTAGAGAGAGAGAGGATGAACGGACAAGCTTCACGATGTGAGAGATGGGAGAGTAAATTTCAGGAAAATCTCCCGATGTCAGAGAGAGAAGAATCACGACAGGAGACAAAAGGGCAAAATTCACGACGCACAGAGCAGAGAGAGGAGTAATTTTTGAGGAAGAGCGGCAAGTAAAATACAAGAGAGAAAGAGGGCAAATAAAGGGGTGGCAACGGACGCGGACCCGAAGGTTAAACCCGATCCGCGTCGGGTATGGAGCCAAATATTGGACGGATGAGCGGGTTCGGGTCAGGTCTAGGTCCGGACAGGTACTGATCCAGGATCGGTAATATTTTTTGGGTCGTATCTAGGCATAGGTCAGGATCCTGATCCGACTCGTTCTTACTCTTAGGAAAATGGAAAATGTTTATTTAAGGATGCAACCTTATGTAGAACTACGGATGCACCTCAAAAATCCATTTAAAAAGGTAGTTTAATGTTGAAAAACCATTTGATTGATCATCTCGACATGTAGATGTATGAACATGGAAAATAAAAAGATTTTAAGTCTCATAAATATTACATTTTACAACATATTATCTACATCGTCCATTTTCAAGATTTTCATATGTTTATAGATCTACTTGATTTTAACTATTTTTTAAATTTTAAATTTTATAATTGGATATAAAAATAAACTTTGAGATAATCCTAAGAACAATTTACATCAAAATTATATACCATAATAAATTTTGAAGGTGGACCTTACCTCTGCAACTACGGATGCTTCCGTATGCCAACTGCCCCCTAGGCAAATTGTTTCCTCTCCTTCTAATAAAGAGTTTTATCAGAAAGAGAGGGAGGGTGAGGCAAATTTCTTTTAAGTGCGTAGTTTGTATAAGGTGTAAACTACAATTCAATTTTGTTAGAACATGAAAATTTGGTATAAGAGACTTTTAAGATGATTTAAAAGTTTATTTTTATTGTTAATTATAAATTTTAAAATTATAAAAAAAATTAATTTCGATATCTGAGAGTGAAAAAAAGCTAAAAAATGACGATATATCTCAAAGTTGATAGGACAGATTAAAAGGGTTTTCCAACGCCAAATACCGAAAAGAAAAGCCTAGCATAACCTTAAAGCCCGACCGCGCCCTTAAGTATGGCAAATGCTCGTAGATTGAGAAAAATACCTTCCTAACAAGTGAGTTGTCTTGGTAACATAAGATCCATCATTATTATAAGAGTGTAGTTGGCATACGAATGCATTAGTAGCTCTAGAAGTAGGGTGCACCTTCAAATTTTATCATGGTATACAATTTTGATGTAAAATGTTATTAGGATTATCTCAAAATCAATTTTTATATCTAATTATAAAATTTTAAATTTCAAAAATAGTTAAAATCAAATAAATCTATAAACATATTATAATCTTGAAAATGGACGGTGTAGATAATATGTTGTAAAATGCACTATGTTTTAGAATTAAAATATTTTTATTTTTCAGGGTCATACATCTCAATGTCGAGATGATCAGTCAAAGGGTTTTTCAACATTAAAACTACCTTTTTCGATGGATGTTTTAGGTGCATTCGTAGGTCTACATTATAAGGTTGCATCCTTTTATAAATTTTTTCCTTATTATAATACCATCTTCCTTAGGCACAAGGAAGTGACAAAGTCACAATCACTTTAAATCATGGGGTCAGATGTCAAATTCCAAATGATGTGTAATAAAGTTTGAGAAATTTATTTTTAAACTTTGACCGTTGGATGTGACATTGGATGATTGCAAGTATTCCATTGACCAAGCTCAAACTTCAAAAGATATTTTCTCGAACTTTGTGATACATCTAGACCATAAAATTTCACATCAAATTGTTGTAAGGAATTGTGACCACCTTGTTTCAAAAGTAAATGGTCTCATTGTATATAACCCCTAAAATTCAAAGCTTCAAAAATAGTGTTCAAGCGTATTTATAAAAGCTTGAAAATTTTGAAATTTGATAGTAAAAATGTATTACAAGATGCATTATTTCTAAAATTTGAAATCCATTTTTTTCTCATGTCCATACATATTGATGTTGAGATGATTAATTTGATGATATTTAGGCATCAAAACAACTTCTTCTAGTAAAAATTTAGAGGTGGGCTCTAATTTGATTGTTTAGAGCCTCAGCTCTATATAAACTTTTTCCCTGTTTCTTTTTTTGTATAATTATCCTAACAATAAGACTGTCTCCCATGAAAAAATCATTTTGTCATCATGACCGTTTGGATCACATCTTTATTTGGGTTATGTGGTCAACATTCAAATTCATCACTGTTCTTTCCATATAAATTGAAGTAGGACACGGTTTTTATGAGTCCATGTAGAAATGAATCACCGTTAAAACAATCTATTTTTTACATTAATTTTTTTGACCTAAATTTAAAGGATATGTAATCTTTAATATGGAGATCATGAATATAAAATAAATGACTAAACTTTGAATATTAAAAATAGCATATCTATTAAAAAAACATTTGGACTGTTAGTTTTAATTGTTTTTAGATAAACCACGTATTTGCGTCCATCTTTAAAATAGATGATGCTTTATACCTTGGGGAATGCAAATGTAGAAATGTGATCCACGCCGTATGAAACAATTTTCCTTTGTATTAAGGGTAAAAGTATTTAAATAGATATCATAACCACCTAAAAAAATAGCTCAGTTGGTTAAGGTAACAATTTTATTAACAAAGCCGTTATCTTTTAAAATTTATTTCTTTTAACTACCTAAATGTTTTAAAATTGGCCATGCTAAAACCGAATATATGATATATATGTTTAGCAATAATAAAGTAGAAATGAGTAAGTAGTTAAGATTTATGACCAATAAATATTAAAAGGTATTATTTTAAATGCATGTATTAAGAATCCAATAGAATGAAAATATGGAAGATGGTGTTAGGCATAAATTAGAGCTAGGTGGACAAACTGTAAATGTGTATCCGCAATTATCTTGCACACCATTGAAACTAAAAAGGATGTTTTACAAGATGGCTTTAATACAAGTCATGCTTTTATGAGACAGAATGTTGGGCGGTCAAGAAGCACCACATCCTAGAATTAGTGTATTTGAGACGAGGATGTTGAAATGGATAAGAGACAATATAAGAAAGGATAGCATTCAAAATAAATGCGTACGAGGAAACTTAGGGGTGGCTCCAATAGGCAATAAGATGAGGGAAAGTAGACTTAGATGGGCAGGCTATGTACAACGTAGACCTAATACAACACTGATTAAAATGGGTCAATTGGTTCAAGCGGAAGGCTCTAAAATGGTAAATGAAATGATTAAAAAGATATAGATAGAAGTAGGGAGAAGATATATAGTAACTTATGGTCTTACTAAGGTTTGATCATTGATGAATGTAATTCATGTAGCCCACCCCAAATAGTTGGGATAAGGTTCACATGATGATGATGATAATTTCTTCTAAGTGCCTCATCAATAATTTTGTTGAGCAAGTCAAGTTATTTTGATATCTTGATTCACTTAAATGACTTAAGCCAAATGACCTAAATAACCATTACGGATAAGGTTGCAAACTCATAACCTATATTTTCATTAAAGATTTTCTTCCAAGTTTGGACCCAACAAAGGATGGATCATTTCGGTAATTTGGCGTCACTACAAGCTAAAAGATGCAAATACTCATGCTTATTCAGGGTTCTGATCCTAAACAAGGATTTTAAACAAAAAAAAGCATGTTATAGGTTAATAAGGGTGAGGACTTTATATTTTTCCTTAACTCGTCCCAGGCCCAGGCCTGGGTAAAAGAGATAGGTTGTGTGATGTAGGCAGCCAACTATCATGATTCTTGAACTTATAAAATAGAGGAACGAGCTTCATGTGGCCACCCCCAAATAATTGGGATAAAGATTGGATGATGATGATGACGATGACGATAATGATGTTATGAGTATGAAACCCAAAACAAGCAGGAGCATTTAGGCCATTCGAGTAAGGTTGTGTGGTTTGTATATGGTATCAACCTTAAACAATCCAATTGAGGCACATTTTTAAAACTAATCAAAAGATGTAATTTTGTTGTAAGAAATATCAACAATGACCTAGAAAACTATTTCACATCTAATTATGCAATTTAAAACACAAAAAATGGTATGGATCGAGCAGATATACAAATAGATGAAGATCTTGATAATAGACGGTCGAGATAATATGTTACAAAAAATACCAATTTGCTACTTTAAATTTATCTTCCTTTTTTAAAAAAATTTATACATCTTGAGTTCAAAATGATCAATTAACATAATTTCAGCATCAAAACAACATTTTTCGAAGGATTTTTTAGGCATCTTTTTTCTACAGTTTAATGTTGCAGCCATATATAGTTTTTTTTTTTCATTCAAATAAACTTAGGTGGACAAATTATCATGATGCAGTTTAGGTTTCAAATATGGAACATGTAAAGACTTTACATTTTTTAACATGAGAAGTTATCTAAGTGCATTGTAGGAAAAATCGAACCGGAATGGTTAACTGGACAATGGAACTGGAATCAGTTCAACCGGTCTAACCAGCAAACCGGTCGGTTCAATCAGCCTAAACGGGCAAGTCTCGAGCTGTCAAAAATAATTTTTTTTTTTAAAAAAATTAAAAAATATAAAAATAAAATCTAATAAAATATGAAAATTATATTTAAAGAATGATTAAACAATGCACATCCAAATGAAGTCGAAAATTAATTAAAAAAAAATATTTTTAAAAAAATATTTGTGCCTAAGGGTATTTTTAAAAAAATTAAAAAAAGATGGAAAAATGCCAAAACATTTTCAAATATTTTCCAGAATGATAAATAAACCTTTAAAAATACACTCCAAACAATTTATTTTTTTTGGGATTTTATATAATTTTTTTTTTTAAATACCCAGCTGGGTCACCAAAATCGAAATCGGCGCTAACCAGGCAATTACCATTTGAACCGCCTGATTTTTCCTACACTTTCTAAGTATCATAATTTTTAAAAGAGACCTTAGTAAATTAGTTGATTCAACCAACTTTTGACCAATTTATATATATTTTAAAATAATATCGAGAGGGAAAACGGCCATGACACATCGTATAGTAATTAAAAAAATTGATTGACGGCCATTTCAAGATTCATTAAGAAAGCAAATGGTACAAACTTTTGGTTCTCTTTTGAATTTTTATTCAAGCCATCAGATTTAACACAGTGGGAATATTTGTGACCTCCTATACAAAGGAAAATGGTCTGTTTTTAGACAATCCCATTTTTATTTTAGTCAAATATAAAAAAACCTTTGAAACCAGAAGTACTCCTTGAAAAATACCAAGATGCATCTATAGTAAGACCATTCATCATCCACAACGATCACTTACCTATACAAATCTTAGTCAATGAGACCTTAATGGACCCAATTTTGATTTATTCATTTACAATATACACAAAGCAGCCAACCCCAATTAATTGAAAAAAAACCATGATGATGATGAGTATATACAAAGCCCAATGACAGCATTAAACATCTCAATATCCAAAATAAATTGCGAGTATTCATTAAATTACAGTTTCTGTGAATGAAGTGCTATCCTCAGATGGCAACATGAACAGGAAGCTCTGAATTGTACTACAGAGTATTCCTTAAAATTACAGTAAAAAAACACAAATTCGGTTGCCCCAAAACTTGGCCTTTCACCAATAATCCCCACAAGAACACTGACCTTCTCTAAAATGGTGAAACCGAAGCCGATCTCGAACAATTATCTCTCGAGAATATATCTTTGATACAAGCTTGATTGCAGAGTGACAATCATCACACACCCTTAGATTTTTTACAATGCGTATGGGCTGTGAATCCTTTACGCTTATCAATCCGAAGGCCAAGGCCAACTTCTCACTATGAAGCCCCAACAATTGCTCCTTCTCATCCTCCTCTACATCTATAAGCACCACGTTGGTGTTAGGTTCATGGCCAGCTAATTTCAACCTCTCCACCATTTCATCTACCTTCGAATAGATATCCTCAGACATTGGGTGAGACCAATCGGCCATGGAAAACACATGGACCACATTGTCCACCTCAATTCTACTCAATCCAGGTTGTTTCTTAACCCCATTATCATTCATCATTTTCCGAACTTCCGCAGCGTCCTCCCATCTCCCACTACGAGCATAAATCCCTGAAAGAAGAACATAGTTTCCACTGTTATGCGGGTCCAATTCAAGCACTCTTTTTCCCACTTTCTCACCTAACTCTACATTGCCATGAACCTTACAAGCACTTAGGAGAGCCCCTAAAAGAACAGCATCAGGCTCAATAGGCATGCTTTCTACCAGCTTTTGGGCCTCATCCAAGAGCCCTGCTCGACCCAATAGATCAACGATGCATCCATAATGCTTAATGTTAGGCTTGATGCCATGTTTGTTAACCATGTCATGCATGTACTTTCGGCCCTCGTTGACCAAACCACCATGGCTGCATGCACAAAGAACACCGACAAAAGTAACTGGTGTTGGCCTCACATCAGATGCATGCATCTCTTCGAACAATGATAGAGCCTTACAAGCATGGCCGTGCATAGCAAAGGCACCGATCATGGCATTCCAAACCAAGGCATCTTTACAGGGTAACCCGGAAAAGATTTCGTAAGCTTTATCGATGTTTCCGCACTTGGCGTACATTTTGATGAGGCTAGTGCATACAATTACATTATACTTGAGCTTATGCTTCTCCATATATGTATGAATCCAATCGCCCAATTCGAGCGCACCCAGTTGAGAACAAGCAGAGAGAACACCCACAATTGTGACTTCATCTACTCTCACTCTTTCTCTAAGCATCTCCCTAAAAAGGTCCAAAGTCTCAAGAAAACACCCATTCTTCGAATACCCGGATATCATAGTGTTCCAGGACACCCCGTCTCGTGTATTCATCTTATCAAAAACCTTACGGGCACTAATTGCATCGCCGCATTTCGCATACATATCCACCAATGCATTGCTCAAAACCACATTAGAATCAAAACCACCAATTTTAGCCAAGTACCCATGAACCCACATGCCAAGCTTAACAGAACCCACTTGAGCACATGCCAGCAAAACCCCGACCATGGTTGCACCATCAGGGTTCACCAACCGATTAGAAACCATCTCTCTAAAAATCTCAAGAGCCATTTTTGGTAGCCCTGCTCGAGCCAATTGAGCAATCATAGCATTATAGGACACCAAATCTCTTTGCTCCATTCTATCGAACAATTGGCATGCACAATCCATTGTAGAGCATGACGCATACATGTTCAGTAAAGTGGTTTGAACATATAGATCAGAGAAGAGGCCAAGCTTCATAGCACAACCATGGAGTTGGAGACCATGGGGTAAAGAGGAGAGAAAAGAACAGGCGGTGATGACGAAGGGGAGAGTGTAGTGATCGAGGGGAGTGCCATTTGTGAGCATGTAATTGTAGAGAGAGAAAGTAGTGAGAGGAGAGGGACTGCGAGAGTAGGCTCGGAGGAGGGAGTTGTAGAGAGAGGTGGAGGTGGGGTTTTGTGGGTTGGTGGAGGTGATGGTGTGGGCGTGGAGTTGGTGGATGATAGAGAGAGGGGGGCGTTGATGGAGGAGGAAGGAGAGAGAGTGGGGGTTGGAGAGAGAGTGAGGTGATGAGTGTGCAGGTGGGGGATGAGGGGTCACTGCTATCGACATGGACTATTTGATCTTTCTACCGGATTCGAACCCTCTCTCTCCCTCGGTATATAACTTCAGAACTGCTAGACGACAGTATAAAAAGAAAAAAATTGTTTCGGTACAAATGTTTTCATAATATAATTATTATTTATAGTTTTTAAAATTTATTTATTTTTGAAAACTTATAGTTAACATATTTATATTTTAATAAAATTAAAAAGAAACCCTAGCTTTTCAAAACCTCACATACACCATTTTTTTTTTTTTTGATTTTTTGAATAAAAATACCTTTTACGAAATTTTTTTTATTGTAACGAATATTACAACAATTTAAATACTTTAATAAGTTAGTATTACGGTAATTAAAATACTATAATAGCTTAAAATAATATTACGGTAATGAAAAGCAAGCTAATATTACGGGTACCTTTCTCTCTGTCTGAAAAATCCATATTCTCATAGGAGCAGGTTGTGGATCTATTTCTTCGCTAAAAAACACATATATAAGAGTGTTTTTGTTTTAAAATTTTGATAACCATATAAAAATTAAGTAGAGATTATATTTTAAAAATTTGAGGTTTGAAAAATATAGCTAGCATTAAGTTTTGTCGAGGGAGTAAATAAAAAGTAGACTCAAGAAACTAGAAAACCCTTTGTTACGGGGCTTAGGCAATATTACGGTAATTAAATTATCGTAATACTACTTTAAAGTATTACGATATTTTATAAAAATATAAGTATAATAACGATAATTTTTCTATTAAAAAACTTCAAATTTATTACTTTTTGTTTTTCGAATATCACCATGCAGTGATTTTAGGTGGTTCTAAACATTTCGTATCAAAAGAAGGAGGGAGCAAGAGTACAATACAGTCTGGCGGGAGCATGGTAGACGCACCCATCCAGAGTTACTAACAGTTAACATGGAACTTTTAGGACGCGGGAGTACGTACAATATACTCCCCTGACCAAATCTAACTATCCCGCCCTCTCTCGAGTCTCGACCAAATCCCTATTTTCGCCCTTTCGTAAATTTCCCTCTCTCTCTCTCTTCAATCAAGAAATGGAGCAGCGAGTGGAGAAGGAAGGGAAGAACAGAAATGCTACAGAAAAAGGTACGAACCCAATTACGAATCAGTCACTTTTGGGAGTTTCCCCTTCTTTTTTTTTGTCCGGTTGATTTGATGGACTGCGATTCGATTTCATTTTTTATAGTTATATTAATCGTCGAGGTTTTCTCGGTCTTTTAATGAGTTTGTTTTTGCTACTTTCTCAGGGCCTTTTTATCCTACATTAAGTTTAGCCCTCATTGATCAGGTTGCTCATGTTATTTTGATCATTTTTTGCTATCTTTGGGTGCTAACTTTCTGTATCTATTTTGTCTCAAGGTTTGAAAAAAAGAAGAAGAAAAAGGAAAATTCGAAGGAGAATAGGTAAACTTGAATTTCAATATCCTACTTTCTTTTTTTTTGGCGTTAAATGTGCATTCTACCTCTCCATCTCATCCTTTATTTTTTTTTCTTTTTTATTTTAATGCACATATTTAGTCTTAGAATTATTTCGAGAATCTGATTTACGCATAGCGGTTACTGGTATTGCATACATGGGCATTAATGTGATTTCTTGCTATTCGCCTTCTTCTTCTTGTTTTAGTCTTAGGACCTATGTACTCTTTATCACCGGAAATTCACTATTTCAATAAAAGTAATCCTGATGATGAATTTTCTGTTGTTTGGTAATGTCCATCGTAAAGTTATCTGAAATAAACTCATGGGCAGTTTTACGGACAAGTTTATCTTTTGAAAAGCGCTTTTTTATTTTATTCCAATTAATCTGTTTAATATCACATTTCTTTGCGCAAAGATAGCTCAAAATAGTTGGAAATTACTGAAAGTGTTGAATGTTTAAATAATTAATTAACATTAATACCACAACTGATGAGATCATATTTTTCAGAGAATCTTAGTTTTAGACGAGAGTCTTATTCCAAACAAGCTTAATAGTCATCCAAACAAGCCCTTATATTACTAGTTTTTAAGGAAACAAATCAAAATTGACACTGAGATGATGATAACGAGTATAATTAGATTGCTTCTTTAAACGAAACCTTTTCCTCCATAATTCCCTTCGATGTCATGAAACATAATGGCAACTCATAACACGATTATAAGGCACGTAGGCAAAGAGGCAAACAGCCCGATTACTCATGAAACATTCAATTCATTCCCTCTCTTTAAAAAAGAAGAAGAAATAAGCAACACATTAGTCTCCACTAGATAGTGCCATTTCACGTGGTAGTTATTATAAAGTGTCTTTTCTTTTCTATTGTGACCATTATTAATATTATTATCATCATTATTTCTAAGAATTATTGCAAACATTCATCCTCCTTGCGTTTTTCCTTCCTCATGCAATTGTTTGTTTTCTCGTTGGTTTCTTTTTTTGTTACCAACTGGAATTGCTGGTTGTTCTTTTCCATTTGCTGATTGATTTGTGTTCATTTTATTCCAGTTGATACACACAAAGTTCATCTCTGCTCAGATGTTCCTGAAGGTGTCAGTCCATGTATTACTAAGTACTGGTATCAGCGTTACAATCTTTTCTCGAGATATGATGAAGGCATTGAAATGGATGAAGAAGGGTGGTTCTCTGTTACTCCTGAAGACATTGCTATTAGGCATGCTGAGAAGAGTGGAAATGGTTTGGTGATTGATTGCTTTTCAGGAGTTGGTGGCAATGCCATTCAATTTGCTCATTTGTATGTTCATTTGTTATGCATAGTTTGCATTTGTAATTTATATCTCCCGCTATTATCTTGATCAACTTTAAATAGCAAATTTGTACTGTGGTCTATATGATTTAGAAAAAACTTTTGGTCATGAGTGTTATTAGCATCTGAACATTTGATTGATGGTGATGGAGACAGTGGATTGACTACTTGGTCCATGTCATGCTCTTGTGGGTCCCACACTCTCTATAACTGCCCATCAATTAATTGAGAGATAACACTTACAACTGTATATATATGTTAATCATATGAATCATAGTATGCCTTCCTGTTTAAATATACCTAATGTTGCATTTCTGTTTTTAATGGATTAATTAGATTGAAGGTTGCAATGCTATGTTTCAGTGTTCCCATGTTATTGCAATGGTATGTCTCAATGTTCCCATGTTAATTTATTACTATATGTACTCTATTTTGGAAAATAAATAGGAATTTATTAAATATAAAGTGTATGCGATGGTTCATATTATGAACAACTAGCAAAACAAAGAAATCAAGAACATGATTAATTAGGTGATCTAACCCTTCAAAGGGAGTGGAGAAAGGATCTGTATCTATTGGGAACAACATTTAATTCCTGACATTTGTTTTTTCCATTTATTCCCCTTAGTTCTATCTTCGATGCAACGAAGGGGGAATAAGCTTTTTGAGTTTGTCAATGCACACTTAACTGAAGTTTCTTTGCCAGCTTTTTTCTTCTGTCTTGGTGACCTTTGATCATAGTTGCTAGAAGGGCAGATAGAGTCAGAAAATCATTTGGGAAATGTTTGTGGGAATCAGCTTTTGAAAATGGCCATGATACAGGAAATGAATTAGCATCCCAAAAAAAGGATTTCTGTATAACTGTTATATACACATATTGATGAATGCATATTTTGATATCATTCTGGTCATCATCCGAACCACCCAAGTATTAATGTAATGGGTACGAATGACAAAAATGTGCCTACATTTTCTTTCTTTTCCTTCATGTTTTTGATACTTACAAAAACTTTTATTGATGAAAGGAACAATAAAAGGTGGCATATAAGAGAATCAGAGAGATGCCAAAGTAGGATATTGGTGATCGGAAACACTTGTATTCACAATAATCAGTTAATCACGCTTCTCACTGCCTTCCTTCTTAGCAATGCATCTGTCAAGACATTTGAATTCTTAGACACATGGTAAAGAAAATACATCTCGAATGATCAATACAAAAAATCTCATCAATTTATGATTATTTTTAGGAAGCTCAATTTGTATCATAAGCAAAAAATGACTAACCTCCCTGTATTGGTGTATTTAACTTCATCTTTTATTGCTTATATCTCTCTTTGCTATCTCAACATATTCATTGATCGGGAGAAAGTGACCGTTTGTCCTTTTCTTATTGTATATTTGTGTTAAACAATGGGGTAAAATAGTCATGTTTCTCCTATCATATTTAACAATTGGTGTGGTATTGTTGTGTTATATTCCTAGGATGACGACTAAAGTAGTATCAAAACATGGATTTATTTATGCATAGATGTGAGCATTTTTATTCATATTACCTGTTAAAATCCCTTGGAAAAATTGGAAAATGTATGGAAAACACATCTAAGAAATTATCGGGCATGGTTCACAAATGGTTAGTGCAAAACTTGACCTCTACAAAATCTGCTGAGGCTGGATATAGTCTGTCGAGTCTCTATTGACTTGTCTAGGATTTACATGCCTCGATTGAGTTCGTGATTTCTATGTTATTTATAGAGCAATGAAATCAAATTTCAGGTTTGCTCTCCCCGAGGCCATGTGTGGCACATATGGGTTTCATTTGACTCCCTTCCTTCATCCCAAGGTTTAAATACTCGGCTCAGGCTGGTTCACTGGTTATTTGTTAATGTGCAGACTATTTAAACCCGAGCCAAAGGTTCAGATACTCAGCTCGGACTCGGTCAGGGTGAGCCCACAGGTTACAGTCCCGAGCAGAGTACTTAAACCATGTACATTGTCACTTGTTAATGTGGAAACCTATTTATTGTGTTCTCTTGATGTGACTTGTGGATATAATCTATATATGTAAACTTTGCAGGTGTTGTCATGTCATTGCCATTGACATAAATGCCCGAAAGGTTGGATACTCCCTCAATAATGCAAGAATATATGGAGTTGAAGATTACATTGATTTTATTATAGGGGATTTCTTCCTTCTTGCTCCACTTTTGAAGGTATGATTGAAAGACATGTTCTTATTTTTTATTTGTATTTGCATGTGTATTTCTGAAATGGAATTTATTAGTAATTTATTTTCTGGAAAGGGAAATTTATCCAAATACCAATGAGAGATGCATTATTTAGCATTTTACACTTTTAACACCATTCTAACTCATGATCATGCGTCTTTCATGGGTATTTTGAAAATTAAATCAAACAAATATGGGTGCAATGTTAAATAGTTCATCTCACATGGCCATTTTGATAATTTCCTTTCTGGAAATTTGACTTATATGAATTCAGGAGTGATATTAATTACTCTTTAGCATGATTGTTATGTCAATATTGATTGTGGATATATGGAAAATACACTTTATCAATTATTGGGATACAAATAAGTATTCAGCTAAAAGCAACGTGTAACACACTCACTATCAGTTCGCCTTCTTTTTGCATGGAGACTTGGGCAGACAATGAAATTTTATTTTTAACTGGATAATTCCTTATGGAATTTATTTTGGTTATAAAACACCTTAGCCCAATAGTTTTTCAGTTGGTTACATATTCATGTGAATTCAAAATTATATTTTTTTGAAAAGTATACAATGAGATCATTTATCTTTGGTACAAGGTGGTCACAATTAATCTTGAGCATTGGATGTGAAGTTAGATGGTTTCATTTATTCCATCGACCAAGCTCAAACTTCAAAAGAAATTTTCTCGAACTTTGTGATACACCCAAGTTATCAGAATTCACATCAGATGGTTGTAAGTAATTGTGACTTCATTGTATAAAAGGTAAATGGTCTCATTGTATACAATCCCATATTTATTTATGTTAATTGTTGTAAGAATTGAAATTTATATTATCTTAGATAGTTATCAATATTTGGATTTTATCAGGCAGATGTGCTTTTTCTTTCACCGCCATGGGGCGGCCCAAGTTATATTGCAGCTGAGAAATTCAGCCTTCAAATGCTAAAACCAAAAGATGGGTAGGTACCTTTCCTATTTCATGCAAACTACTATTGCGATCATGTGATGCATGTTTCACTTATGAATTACATGATAAGTAGCACTCAAATATTTATAATTTATATAGAAGAAAGAAAGGAAAAAGAAAAGAAAGCTTGCTGGAATGTGCTATCTTGGAATGGAGCACAAATGATCACATTGGACTCGCTGTTTTGTGCAAAACCTTTGGGATGGCAAGATCGATCCTACAAATTAAAAAAAAAATAACAATACAAAGGGAAAATATCTGCCCAAATTGGTCTGACAATAGGAAAAAAGGAAGCTAACATGGGAATTCCTTTTATCTCTTTTGGGTCATGATTTTGGACCCAAATCCTGGGATAAGAATATCAATCCAAAAAACTATGATGGATCCAGAAACAAAGAAGAACAAAAAAGGAAAGCTCAAAATTCTGTTAAAAGTAAAAAGATTAGTTGCCGACTGAATTTGTACAAAACTGAACCATTTGGGAGAACCTATAAAACCAGCTGGTCGAACTAGTTCGACCCGTCAAAGCCTGGTTTTGACCGGTTCTGTGAGAGCCGGTTCAACCGATCAAATCCACTGTTCCGTTCTAGTCAGTGATAAGGTTATATTCATATAATTTGAACATGCAAATGAATCAAACTAAAGGAGATGGGAAGTAAATTACATTTCGCTAGTAAGTGAATATGTTATATAATTTGAACAGGCAATTGAATCAAACTAAAGGAGATGCCAAGTAAATTACTTTAGCATTTATTTCATAGAGTTGGTTGGCTGTTAGGCCAATCATGTTGTTGCTTTCCACTCGTTTGGTATTTGTTATCCTTTTCCCACATTATTTTATACTCTTTAATTGGGTTTGCAAGTGGGCCAGGCTGGGTAAACTAAAAATAAAGGCCCATCAAGCTGACAGGCCTCACCGCTCTATCTGCCAAGCTAAGAACCCCAACCACTACGGCTGGCATTTCGTACTCTCTTGTCTTCCCCTCCCTCTCTGTATCCTTCAAAGTGGGACTATTTTTCCCTCTTGAAACTATCTTGTTCAAGATTCCTCTCTCTCTCTCTCTCTCTCTCTCTCTCTCTCTCTTCTTCTCTCTCTCTCTCTCTCTCTCTCTCTCTCTCTCGTCTCTACTACTCTACTACTACTACTACTACTACTACTACTACTACTACTACTA